GCTCTTCACCTATGGCCTGGAGAATTCTTACCCACATGTCTACCGCAGACCATGCCAATTACTCTACCGCCGGTCAAATGTAACGTCATTGAGCCGCGTTGGTACGATAATAACTGAATTCCTGCATCGCTTAATTATGTTTGCATAAATACATGTCTTCGATACCGCGACTATGATTTTATTAAAACACTATACCATCTTCGATAAAAGAAAATTACTTCGTTTGGAAGCCTTTTTAATTGCATTCATAATTCGTTTTATTAACGAGAAAAGACTTGCATTTGGGAAAACAGTTTCGCACAGTTTCAAGTTGAATGAAGACAATGATCTCTATGATCTAAATTTAAAAAGTTATATACATGCTCGGGCCTCATAATTAAAGTCTGTTTATATTATGGAAGGTAATAATTCAGTAACATCCGTTCAGTAATCCAACACGTTTATACTAATTTATAATTACAGAATTGTAATTATGAATGAATATGTGAGTAAAACGATAAAAATTCAACTCCAAACAAAATATTATTGATTTACGTGAGTTTTGCATAATTTTTGAACGAATTGTGAAATTTGTTCATATCTGCTTTTTCACATTTCTGTATCATTTGCGATGGTTTGCATCTTTTATTATTAGCAAAAGAAATATTTTTCATACTTGTGTCATATTTGATTGTAACATAATAATGTTATAATCAATTTATAAAATAAATGCTATATACACATATGTGCGGCTGTAATATTGAAACATGATTTTAATTTCTACATATTATTTAACAAAATAGCGATTTTGTCAAGGGAGACTGAAATTAATTTACTTTCAAATATGTCTCGGAAACGGTTATAGATATAGAAAAATGTTCATACGAAAGTTGTAGAATATTAAGGAGGATGTATGATGAAAATATACTTGACCTTGAATGACCTTCTCAAGACTAGGTAAATGTAACCAATGTTTTCATAAATGGAATCCCTTATTTTTTATTGCATATTCTTGTAGTTTACCCCGAGAGCTTTTCAAAATACTACAAAAAAGTTCATTTTCATTAAATACTTTTCGAGTTATGAGAATTGAGAGTTACAGTACCGCCATTATTAGTATTACCCAACATGTCCGATCAAGGGCTAAAACATCTTGAATGTTATTCAGAGTCATGCTCTGGATAACATATGTTATGATCAAAGTTATTGGAGGTTGTTTCTCTTATTTTCACTTTTTCATTAAAAATTCATTTTTTTGTGAAAATGAAAATAAACTAGAGGAATAATCTTATTCAATGACCTTGATCTTAACAAATTTTATCCAGGGCATGACCCTGAATAACATTCAAGAGGCTTTAGCCCTCGATCGGACATCTTGGATAATACTAATAATGGTGGTACTGTAACTCTCAATCCTTATAATTCGAAAAGTACTTAATGAAAATGAACTTTTTTTGTAGTATTTTGAAAAGCTCTCGGGGTGAGTTACAAGAATATGCAATAAAAAAAATGGGAGGTTCCCTTTATGAAAACATCGGTCACGTTAATCTAGTCTTGAGAAGGTCATTCAAGATCAAATCCATATTTTCATCATACGTCCGCTTTAATGTCTTACAACTTTCGTACGAAACATTTTTCCATATCTATAACCGTTTCCGAGATATATGGCCTGAATCAGACTTTATAGATATCCTGTATAGTCGGCACATTATACATCATTGGAAAATTAATTATTATTCGTAATATACACACATGAATTATGCTTTGAAGAGAATAAAGCAAGAGAAGAGTATTTATATAATGTTACCGGAACCGCTTTAGTAGGAAATAATTATAATTAAGTGTGATGGAGGTGATTAAGATGAAGGTAATCGCAAAAGTGAAGTTATATGTGTATATGTGCTTTACGTCCCGTAAGGAGATGAAAATAGAAATTACATATTTACATTGTCTATAAGAAGGAGAACCTTCATCGCGTTTCTTTATAATACCTTAAGCGTACGTGTTATCGCATTGTCAAACGCAAATGCCTCTGTTCTATCTCGTTACGTTGATCAGGTATAAATCGGTGGTTCACAACGTTTTATTTTTCTAAATGTCAGAGACACATGTTTAAGATGAAGTGTTTGATTTAGTTATCCAATCACGAGAGTATACTTATCACTGCTAACTTGAAATGAAAAAAAATACAAATATCAGTTTCTGCAACTTTTGCAGTCTCATTCAGTAACTAAATTTTGAATTGAAAAAAAGTTTTTATAATTGTTTCTTTTATTACAGGATTTATAGATGTACTATTTCCTATTTTATTGCATTTATCATTATTTAATAAAATTGATCTAAATTTAAATTACAAAACATAAATTATATAATAAATGCCAAAGCTACGATATTTAAATCGAATGTCAAAAGTGCCGATAAGAAATTACGGTGTTGCAAAAATATTTACGTAACAAACGGTAAGTACCGAAAGCTCATATTTTTAAGCATTATATATTATCTATGGCAAAAGTTAAAATTAAAATTAATAATATTATGCCATTAGTTTTTATATTATTCAGCCCTCCAAAAATAGATAATTTTCAAGAGAATATAACTTTGTCAAAAAATGACCATAATTCGATGATTTAAAAATATTTCAAAAAACTTGAATATATGTGGAACTCAAGATTTTTCTATCTGTTTTATTCACTTAATATTATATTGTTATCTACTGGCTGGCTTTATAACAACAGTCTTGCTGGTGCCCTGCCATTTGTTATATATGTATTTACATTGCAATAAATAATAATATCTCGAATAAAAATTTTTTATGTATAACCATACATAAACATATATTATATATAACTTATATATAATTGTATCTGGTCATATATGATTTGATATATGTTCATATATAATTGTATGTGATTCGATACATATGATTTCATATATGATCATATATAATTTCATATACATGAAGGCATCGTAATCATATGTGTTCATATATAATTTCATATATGAACATATATGATAAGAAATGCGATGAAATTATATGTGAACATATATATATATATATTATATATGAACATAAATATATATATATAAATTATTATGTATATATTATAAAATCAGATATGATTATATGTGATTCCATATATGATCATATGTGAAATCTTATGTAATTGCAGTCTCGAGAGATCGTTCGACCGTGGCGGACGTATTTTGTCTCGCTGCGATTTGAGTGTTGCAAGTTTTATTTTTGAGCGTAAGTGTGATGCTGTGACCGTATTTGACTGTGATATTTATGTTTGTATTCTAGTGTTTTCCTTCCCCAATCTATCCCATCCTTGTTGCCGTTCTTTCCGTCGAGAAGTGATTGTCCTCTGCACTGGCACGATACTTGTCAGCACCAGCTAGGCTGACAGATTTTCTAACCTCAATAGTCGTAAGATTAATATCTCAGGCTCACGGGGCAGAGTGACGCTTTTTTCTGCCAGATTCCTTCATTTTATGAAAAAACACATCGAGTAAGCCTAATTTTATTGATTTTTCGTGCAAAAATTAAGATTTGACAAGAAAAAAGGATAATAATTTAGTCTCACCACTGCCTCCTCAAAAGTCAATGAGATTAGGCTTACTTGATGTGGTTTTGCATAAAACGAAAGAATCTGGCAGAAAAAAGCGTTACTCTGCCCCGCGAGCCTAAGATATTAATCATTCAAGTTTACGACTATTCAGATTAGAAAATCTGTCAACCACGAAATACTGCGATGCGAACAAACGCTGCGGTCATATTTTCATCATGTGAGGCGCGAGCCTGGGTCTGTCGTGAGCTACGTTAGACTATTTAATAAATTTTACTGCGAATTCTAAGCTATTTCCATACCAGGTCCATATCAAGCGCAAGATTAGGCCTCTTATGGACTATGTCAGATTTTTTTAAGAAGTTATGGCGTGGCAAAGCAGTGGCAAAGTATCGTGGCGCTTGCCAGTATCGTGGCACTGACGAGGAAATTTCTACCAGGGTTGCCGCACTTTATAATTTAATATTATATATTAATAAATATATAATTATATTACATATATAATTTTTATATACATTTTTATATGACCATATGTGAATCGTTATTATGTATGCAGG